GAAAAAAATTAGCTTGTGAGGATAAAAATTTATGAAGATAGAAATGTGTTTCTGATTTAAAAAATCAATCTTGGTGCCATTATAATCCTATGGACTCTTGAGATTACTCTCCACATTGTTTTATTCTTCCGAATGCAGTGCAGGTTCTTCAGCTGTTGCCGAAGTAGATACTGACTTTGCTGGGAGCATGACTTTGTGCAAGGCATAAAGGTTATACCTCTGCAGCTCTTCTACTTTTTCCCTGCCATCTCTGACCACTCAACTCAGGTAACCAATGAGAGATGCCCTGTTGATCTCTTATCCTTGGGAATAATTTTAATCTCTTCCTCCTGTTTAATGTTAGTGTCCTCCTTTCCCCATATATGTGGTTGTGTGCCTGTTTGTTTCATCCATGAGAGGAAGCTTTTAAGAACTGGAACTCTGCACCAAATGTGCGATGAAATGACTTTGTTGGAGACCCATTGTCTGCCTGCTGGCTCTCATCAGTGATGACTTCACACTGCCATATTTAGAGAGTTTTACATAGAGCCTTTCTGAACTGGTATTCTGGGAAAATAAAGAGCTGGCTGTTTGCAATATGTTCTACCAGAAGTGGGGTGTTCACTTTGTGTTCTCTAATAATCAACTGTTTGGAATCACTTTTTTTTGGCACAGTGAAAGGGGAGCTAGATAAACAGATTGATAGATGAAGAGGTGAAAAGTAGGAAGGAATGGGAAAGAAATGGGAAGAGCATCTTCCTAACTACCAGTTGCTTTCATGTGGTAGAGCTTAATGAGAAGATAATAGGTTAATTTACTGAGCTGTGACATATTTACATGTAAAAGACTTACATGAGGTCCCTTTCCCTTTTTTCAAGTGTAGATGATTTTGAGATGACCTGGTTGCTTCCCCAAGGAGAGGGGCTTCTGGCTCTCCAACGGGCAGTTTTTAGGGTGTAGGAAGTAGAGAACACTCTCTTGGTGGGCTTACATCCAGATGTGATTCTCAGTGGATTGTTTTCCTTTTTGGCAGCATCAACTGGCTGTAGCGGCCAAGGCTTCTGCAAGGCTTCCCATCCAGGAGCTTTTCATCCAGGGATGCTATTGGAGGCCAGACTTCCAGTTTTGCTAGGAAGAGATGCCTATTAAGTTAGGGGGCCAGGGATTTGATTGCAGCAGTCGCTATTCAAGTCAGCCAGTCATCATTTCATCCATAAGTCAGGGACTCTGTACTTGCAGTCCCAGTAGGCCCTTGCTCTGGTGATGTGATTTAGAGAGTCAGTGGCAGGGTTTGAGCTGCAGTGTGAGCACAGAGGGTTAATTTAGTCACAGAGAGCCTGAGCAGCCTGTGAGAGTGACCCTCTGCATCCTACATGGAACGAGGGACAACACGGAGAGACTAAAGACGATCCCTCAAAGCCTAGCTTCCTTCATTGCTCCTTCTGCTGTGGACTGTCCTGTGGGGACAGTACACATGCTGGAACATATTACAACATGGGCAGCTGTTTGCAGTGAACAGTGATGCAAAAGCTGAGATAGTATCCTCATAAAGACCTCTAACCTCAAGTCTTTTTTTGTAGTAGGAGGAATACATAATTTAGACAATATTATCTTGTACAGTTAACAAAAGGAAACTAGAATAAGAGGGAATTCGCCTCTGCTGAACAAACCAAGCTTCTCTCTATCATCTAGCAAGGCCATAAAAATACCATCTACAGATTGACTTTAGTAAAGGAGCCCACTGAGGACACAAGCACCTGAATTACAGATTCCCAGAGCACACACAGGCATTTATCGCTGACAGACAAAGAAACAAAATCTCCAGGAGGCAACTGGGATCTTTTCATTTTGAAAATGCTTTAATAAGTGTTGACAACACTGTTTTGCAAAATGTAAAGGTACTATACAAATTCTTAATACAAAAAGAATAAATTAAAAGCAGATTTCTTTTTTAATTCTGCAACTTTGTCTACAACGTACATCTTTTTCATTGATTACAGTTGAACAGAATCCAGTAAAATCATTTTACATGCTCTACAGTCAGTTTCAGGAGCAACCTAATCTTTTTTCCCCCATTATTAAACTAGACTCCATTTTACACAACTTGTAATAAACTATTGACATTAATGTATATGTAAAACTTTACACCTAGTTAACTAAGCAGTAACTGGTCGTCTGATAGCACCTGGATGGGGTTTGCTATATTTAGAACTAAACTAATACTGAATGAAAACAAATTGGAATTTTAACAGTTTCAACACTCACCTGCATATAATAAAATAAAAAATCAACCTGGCTCACAACATAGGTTGATGTATGAGTTTTCACCAGTCTTCTGGCTGAAACAGGCCATTTCTTTTACGCATCCGAAGAATCCAATAGGGGCTTTATATCAGACCAGGGACTCCTTATTTTGTTTTAAAGGAATAGGGATAGAGAGTTTGCAAGTGCTTGTGTACAATAACTACATCATTTCCCACCACACTGATCATTAATCATGTCAGTCTCAAAGGACTAACGTTTTATGTACATTTTGTATTAACTGAACTCAGCTAAACAGTAAAACCTGTTTTACTTAATCTCTGTCTTGACTACCAGACTATCATGATGTTTGCTGGAACTGTAATTCCTGTTCCCACTCCATTTCTCTCTGTCCCCCGAATTGAAAACATAACCCAAGTCTTTAGAATTTTTGCCTCTCATTCCTTGCAACTCAAGTGGGCTAGAATCTTGATCCGGTTTTCTCCAGACTAGATTTCAAGCTACTCTGCATGGTGTAGAACCTGTAACCACATAACCTCATCACCTTCCTTTTCCCTTTTGACTTTTCCTGTTGCACACAGTTCAGTCTGACTCTTCATGAATCTTCTTTGGGAGAAAGAAAAATGGCCCTATGTATCATGTTTCTGAATGGGGAAGGGAGAAAAAAAAATCACTGCTCTTTGTAGCTCTAACCATGAAAATAAAAGCAAAAAAAAATCCCCCAATGAATCCCTAGAATCATTTAATAATATCATAACCGGTTTCTATTTGTCCTGCAGGTGTACACTTAAAGCGTTCTGGGAATATTAATCCCTTCTGCATGCTGGAATCACCAGTCTAGCCATGCATGGAGCTGGGGAAAGCAGGCCCTGAATCGTCTACAGAGAGTTGGTGGAGGAGGCCACGGCCCGCCTTGTCCCAGCCAGGTGTGTGCGCCCCAGCTCGACTCTCGGTGGTCTCCAGGCTGCAGCAGAAGGAATACCTTGGTATTTATTTCGTTTTAGTATCCATCCTTACCCTCCTGGTCTGGTACAGCCTATGGTTATTCTTGGATTCCACATACATGAAAAGCGAAGATTTTTCTTTTCTTTTTATGCTTAAGCTAACTTCAGTTCTGCTTTCCCACAAAACTACTCCCACCCTGGCTCCTGTCACTGGCTGTCAATGTCTTTCCAATAGGAAGTCATTAGAGTGAGAAAAAAATTCCACCCCCACCCCCCACCCCCCAACCACTTGCGCCCAAAGCACAGCAACACCACCTCTGCGGAAACCTTTTTGTGCCATCTTGAATAACCCAACTAAAGTTGTGCACTTGTTATTATAAAAGTATTTTTGAGGCCTTTGAAGATTGATGGCTTTCCAGTTGTGTTTGAAGTGTAGCTTAAAACACATGTAAACGTGCAGCTCCCACACATTAATTTTTGTCTTCTTTCCTCTTTTGGTATCTGCACACAAATGTGGTGCATGACAGTAAGTGATGATGTGGACACATGGGCCCTTTGGGAGCTGGTATTTTTTTCAACCCTGCTCTGCCTGTTGGCTAGTAGACACATGAGTCAAATCTTTCTACCTAAGGGCATAGTTGGGTTCTTGGAATAGGTGACACATGGGAGAAGTCGGATCTGAGCTCTTTTGTCACACAAGTGCTAATGAACAGAAAATGAGCCACAACAGTTAAACACTGAATGGATCGCAATGTGCTTTTCCCTTGGTTTCCCATAAAAAAGAAAATGAAACACCTTGTGCAAAAAAATAGGATATGCTTTTACTGGTTTGTTTTAATGAGAGAGAACCACTTTTGGCCATTATCACCTTATGTTACTACAAATCCTGAAAGGAAAGCAGCGTTGAGTCTTGGGCTTGGCTGAACCCCCTGCATGGACCGGGGCTAACGGTGCCCTCCATGACTCCTGCGGGTCTCTCTTCCTTTGTGTCCAGATGGATGGCGGCTGTGAGTCGGCAATGCCAGCCAAGACTCCCTCGTCTTCACCGTGGCATTGGGGCAGTTTCTCAGGCCCTCTACGGAGAGAGACGTGGGCCAGTAAGGGAGAGGGCTAGAGAAAGGACACCAGTTTACACAGGGTTGACTTACACTTATGTGTAGTAGTAGTTCAGAATTTAAACGAAATTTCCTTGCAGAAAGAATGTCTTCCTCTTGGCCCCTCTTAATTTTTTATGTTTTTATTTATTTTTAATCTTTGGCAGCATAGAACTGATCGTGGTCCTCCGATGCATCTCTGGTGTCGAGAGCTTCCTTTCTCATCTTCCCCTTCCCCCACAGCCACTCCCCACAAGCTGTCCCATCGAGGAATATTTCAGGTGTAAACTGAATATGCCACGAGGCCTCCTCTTCATGAAGTGCTTGATTGGCCTACTTACGGGTGGCAGGCTGGACACAGCTGACCGTCTTTCTGGTCACCCTGTAACTCAAGTCCCCTTTCTTGTTCTCTCCCAATGCTACTTGTCCGCAGGAATTGGATGCCAGCCGGCCCCCCTGACGGTTCCTGGCCTAGGGGCTGTCATGACAGAGGGAAGCCACCAAGGTGCCATTGAGGATTGGTGTCTGGCTCTCCATGGGCAAGAGCGCCAGGGGACACACAGTGGGACCGGAACCTTCCAGAGTGTCTCCTCAGTCAGGTTTTCGAGGGGGAGGGAATGCGGAGACAGGAGAAAAAAAGTGCTGAGGGCCGAAGCTGGTGCAGGGTGACGGTGCGTCTGGGTAAGGCAAATGAGAGGCAGTGAGGTGATCTCAGAATGGCGTTGAGGCGGTCAGATTAGGCCGGGCTGGCTCACACGAGGGTCCCGGGCTTGGCTTTTTCCTGCCCGTACCACTGGACATCAGCTAGTTCTGGATAGAGGGAGGAATCCAGGAAACAGCTATCATTGTAGCCCCTGTGGGAGGCCCAAGAAAGGAGATGAGACAGTTAGTGGAGGAGGACGGGCTCAGCCAGGCCTAGACTGAGAAGGATGTGTTCACCTTGACAGGGCCCTGTGCTAATCACGAGTCTTTCCTGTTCAGAGCAGTGAGGCCTGAGACCCTCAACAGTGCTGCGTGTACAGAAGGCCCCAGAATCCACACAAAGGGGCCGCCTGAAACCTAGAGCATTTGTGAAGGAGGAAAACGTAAGGTAACGCTTACTCAGTGCGCTGGTTCTTCAACGTAGCTGCATCCAGGGAGCACCTGGGAACTCTCAGAAATACTCATGCCTGGGCCCCGCCTCGGGAGACAATGGCCTAATTGGTTTAGGGTGTGTTTGAGCGCTGGGAGCTGCCAAAGCTCCCACCAGGTGATCCTCATATGCAGCCGAAGCCAGACCCTCCGGGCTGTCCTCAGGGGACTTTTCCCACGGGACAGCTGCTGGGGTTGTCCTCCGTGAGACCCCAGGGCTAACCAGATGTCACTAGGACATTTTCATTCTGTCCGGAAAGAACATTCGAAATGTGAGGTTTCCCTATAGTGAAACTGTGGTGGTATTTTGAATTGTGTTTTAAAAGTTTAAAAAAAATGGTGACGTTGCTTTATTCTAAATAACATGTATTGTTTTGTGATTATAAAAGTGTGTTCATTTAAAATATACAGGAAAGTCTATAGAAGAAAATAAAAGGCTTTTTTTTTCCTTTTTTTAAGTATTTTAGGTAGGTATCACCATTTAGGTTGGGTAGAAGTAATTCTTAAATCTCGAGAAGCAATCATAGATAGGTGGAAGCCGATAGTCATTACTAGGGATCATGATTAGGAAAAACAGCCTCTCTCCAATGATCCTGAATGAGCCCGTTGAATTCATCTCCTGCAACTGATCTCCCCGTGGGGAGTGCTAGGGGAGTGGTGAGGGATGGGTGACAGGAGGGGACCCTAACCCAATGTAGTTCGGAGCAGGTGAGTTTTAGGAGCATTTCAGTACCAAACACAGCTTCACGACTGAGAATCAGCAGTCATCCCCAGCTTTGTTTCATTTGCTAACCTCTCTAGGAACAACTGGATGTTGTAAATGTTTCTCATCTGGCCTGAAAATCCACGAAAGCTGGAAAATCCCAAGGCATCTGTGCATATACTGGTGGATTTTAATGAGAGTCCTGTGCTTGGAGCACCAGAAATAAACCAGCTTCAGAAGTAAAGTAAGAAAAGGCCCTTGATTATGACACTGGCCACGGGTATTACTATATGTAGGTGGTAAGTGGACGTTTCTGGGATACCTGTCCTGCAAACTTTCTTTCCACCCTGAGCTGACTTTTGAAATTGTGCCTGACTGAAAAACTTCTAAGGGGAGAGGTGGTTGGGCCCTCCAGGGGTCCTGTGTTTCTCTTAGGGGGACAATCTCTCCCTAATTCCATGTGGTCCTGGTGGTGTTCTCCACCATGCTGCCATCCTCACTCCCGGGGGGACCAGGGGACAAGGAACCCAGTGGGGCCGGGCCAATGAGTCCCCCGATCACAATCCCTGGTTCAAAGATGGCCATGTGCCTGAGCAGCTTTGAAACCACAGAGATGTCATTTCCTCCTGAGAACGAAGTTAACAGGAGGAGGAAGCAGAGCTAGAGATAGAATGAGACCCAGCCAGCCCAGGCTCCAGTGACATCAGCCGGTACATGCTCTTGTTTGCTTACTCTTGTTAAACTGAGTTTTTCATATGTAACTAATGAATACTGGCACATGTAAGTAGTTTCTTAAACTGTTGATGGAATGTTTGTTTCTAACACGAACATGATCTGGCTCTGTTTGGGACAAAACTTCCCTAAGGGGCTTCATGAGATCTAAAGAACCACTGTAGCCAGTGTTTCCCAAAGTAGTCCTGTGAGTTGCTCTGAGGGGAAAAAAAAGGTTCCATGGATAAATACATTTGAGGAGTCTGCCTTTCAGAGGCCTGAAATGTAAATGTATATATTAAAGGTTCTGAGAAGTCCTGGATTACTGTTTGCCCCAGAACTTCTGGAACAGTATCACCTATGAAGATCCACAGAACACACTTTGAAAAACACTCTTAAATAGGCTAATATTATAAAATGAGGTTGACTTATCTTGTATGTTGGATCCTGAACAGTTTGTGGTTCAAACTATTACTGTTAAAGTTGAGTAATAATTGTGACAATATAACCTGCTTCACAGGGACTAAAAGTCCACTATGTATTGATCATAAAGGCTCAAGGAGAGACCACCGAGTTCAAAGCAGTGACTGGATAAGGCAGTAGATGAGGTTAAGGGTTCCTGTGGTGGTTTATTCGGTATGTGAAGAGCCTAACCCTTAGCCTAACCCTGTGCTGTTCTCCTTCTGGGTCACAGAACCCATACATGACAGGGCACTGGGATCTGGATGATGGGGTGGGAGATGCTGGATCGGTGGTTTGGTTCTCAGGTGGCTCCCCGAGGGGCCACAGTATGGAAACCCTGGCCTGCTCCTGCCTCTGAGGAAACTAGAGCTGGAGGAAAAGAGGTAAAGATGTATTTTTCCAAAATTGTGATGTCTTACACGGAATCTTTCTTAGTGCTTCCCCATCATTACTGAAGTATGTAAGGTAGTTTTAAAGCTATAAATGTTGCTTCATGTATTGGTCTCTTATTCTCAAGTTTATTCTCAAGTTGGGGGAAGAGACCCTTGTTCTGGCTGCTCAGCTAAGCCTTTCAGTACAAATTCAATTTTAGGGTAATAGTCAAGGAATGCCATGTGCTACGAAAGCAAAATTAATGAGAGCGACCATTTAGGAAGCATTTATTCTTCATGAATAATACAAATGGGGCCACTAAATAGTTGCCCTAGTAAAGTCAAGTCAGTCATTCACTGGAATATGAGCTGGGGCAGGATGAAGATGTAGCTGTGCTCTCTAAACTGTGACCCAGCAGAGCAGCTTAGCACTGGGCAGTCTGGGTCACAGAAGTGACAACGTCAGAATCTGTGAGGGCCAGTGCCTGTGGGGGCTTTCCACAGGAAGAATGCGCTTTCCCAGAACTATGCTCAGAGACGTGTGGCCTGCAAAGTGTACTGGCCAGGGGCCCTCTGATACCAGACAGATGGCAAATTCACCCACATCTCACAGGATTGTGTGGTTTTTAAGTGCTTGGCATAGGGAGGTGGGGCTGCTGGGAGGGAGGAATTTCAAACTGAATTATTTTTGTAAATGTATAACTTACAAAACAACTGGTAGCACATACTTGGGTTGTTGAATAGTCCTGCAGTTGGGGACGAGGCCCTCTAGAGGCATCCTGTCTCACCTGGTCTGGGAAGGTGCTGTTGCTCAGTATATGTAGGTGTGTCCCTGCATGTGCACACATGTATGCATGTAGATATTTCAAGCAGATGTGCTTACATTTCCACAGCAGCTCTTTCAAACCTGGTTAGTTCTAGTTCTGGCTATCATCCCAACCTCCATCACCTTTAACAGATGAGATGATCGGCCCTTCCATACTGGGGGAGAAAAAGGCCATTCTTCCTACTTCAAAAATACTGCTCTCATGACATCATCCTATCTTAAAATCTCTTCTTTTTTCTGGCACTGGCCAGGGGGTGGTCTACCTTCCTTCCAAAGCCTAAGTCCCTGTCCCCCGATTCCCCATCTGCCAACTTGGCAATATTGTCCGAGCTTGTTCTCTTCAGGAAACAAGACTCTCTGTTAACCACCCCTCACGCTTGTCTGTGCATCCGTGTTTTTGCACTTGGAATGGTCTCTCCCTGTCTCAACCCCCTCCTCCCACCGCAGGCTTCTGAGCCAGGCTCACATAACATCTCTGTGAACTCAAAAGTCACCCTCTCGTTTCTGAATCCTCTCAGCGTTTTGTTTCTAAGTCTTAGAGCACTGAATACATAAGTGTGGCAGTTTCTCATGCTCCTCGTATATCTCCTGATAGACTGTAAGGGTCCTGGAGCTAGGAACCAGACCAGGTGTTTTCTGCCCCTGTGCTTTGCAAATTTCGACATGCATTTTATTCACTCAGGAATCTTGTTAAATGCACACTAGGTTCAGTAGGCCAGGGTGGTGCCCAGGAGTCTAACTTTCTAACAAGCTCCCTGGTGATGGTGGTAGCAATAAAAATGCTGGCTTATGGACATTTCGAAAAGCAGTGCTCATAGCCTTTGGTACTCAGCACAGCTGTTAAGAATGCTGGGATGAAATGATGGGGGTGCTTCTGGATCAACTCAGTCTGCCCTTGGTGCTTTGAAACTTACATTGCAGTGATGCTGTTCTTTTCAGGAACAGTAAAATGTCTACAAATATTTGAATATAGGTAGAACATGGTGAGTCTAAAACATACTTTGGGGCCAGGCGCACAGATCACTTCGAGACTAGCCTGGCCAACATGGCGAAACCCCGTGTCTACTAAAAATACAAAAATTAGCCACGTGTGTACCTGTAGCTACTAGGGAGGCAGGAGAATCGCTTGAACCCGGGAGGCAGAGGTTTCAGTGAGCCAAGATCATGCCACTGCACTCCAGCCTGGGCAACAGAACAAGACTCTGTCTCAAAACATACTCTGGGGGTCTTTTCTGGGAAGCAGTGTTGGGAATATCTAACATCTGATGTAAGAACCTCCATCTAAAAACATATAGTTCGCCATGTATCTGGAAATAAGGCATAAATACAGCACTCAGATGTATCCTTGTGGAAACGGTGACACGGAGAAAAGCAACACACATGCAGCACATGTGGGACCACAGACTCATGGGCAGTAGGAACAAAACTCCTCTTACGGTACCTCTATTCATCAGTACTTTGGTGAGGTGGAGACTCAGACCCATCCAGAATGGGTGAGTTTTCTGTTGCTTCTCTGAACAAAGGAAAGCAGGAGGAGGAAGAGAAGAGAGGTCATGTTACAGAGAGAAACTGACACAGACACGATTAGCAGCTTAGTAATACATCCGAAAGGCCCACCGATTAGATACCTGAGTTAGCAACAGATCATACAAGTCATGCAGTACTTTCAGTCCCCATAATTGAGTCAAAGACGTAATTTGTTAGGAGGGATGGGCCCTCTTTGGCACTTTTTACCCATGGCCTCATTTCGTGTCACATCATAGCAAAGAGTTTATGCAAGAACCAAAATAGCTGTTTTGTTTCAGATTTGTCTTGAGTCCTCACTAGTTGTACATGGTGAAATAGGCAAGATTCAAGACCATCTTATATGTGTAGGACCCTGAGGAGTGCTTGTACATTTCAGAGCCTGTTGCCAAATACAATCATATATTTGGATCGGGTGAGACTGGGCATGATTCAGAAAAGATCTACAGAGGGATCTTAAGTTTCTTGTTTAGTCACTGGAGGTATGTATTATATATATGAAAGATGTGTCATTCTTTTATGAGCTAATCTTGGTGAGACTCTTAGACCCTAAACCTTGCAGAGGCTGCCTGGCCACACAGGTGAGAGCTGGGGTGTGGGTGGTACGTGAGTAGGTGTTAATGATCTAGAGTTAAGGACAGAGGGGCAGCTACTGCCCGACAGACAGCCCAAGAAGTAGGAGTAGACACAGGAACAGCGAGTTGGGGCTCCAGTTTCCCTTATTTTAAAAGGAATTAGAGGCAGCATGGGATTGGTCAGTGATGGTCAAACTTGAGTGTGTGTCAGCATCACCTGGAAGGCTTATCAGAAAGCAGCCTGCTGGGCTCCACCCCCAGAGTTATGGATGTTTTTAGGTTACAGGTGAGCCTGAGAATTTGCATTTCTGATAAGATCCTGGGTGAGGCTCTCACGTGCTGCTGCTTTGGGACCACACTTAACTACCGGTATAGTGGGAAAACACAGGGTTTGGGGTCACAGAGGGCAGAGCTAGGATTCCAGCTCCCTCCAGCTGTCAGACTTTGGGCCAGGCACTTAGTTCCTCTGAGCCTCATCTATGAAACTAAAACGTCTGGGTATTTCTGTTGCCAGGGGACGATAAGGATTATATGAGCTGTGTGTTAGAAGCTGCTCCCAGCCTTTGAGTACACAGCAAGCACTCAGTGTTAGAACCCTTTCTCTCTTACCAAAAATGAAGGCTCCAGAAAACCTTGTGTAAAAAATTACTACAGATAAACCTGCTACAGATAAACCTGCAGGAACAAAAATGCCGGCCAGTGCCTGTAATCCCAGCACTTTGGGAAGCCGAGGTGGGCAGATCACCTAAGGTCAGGAGTTCGAGACCAGCCTGGCCAACGTGGTGAAACCCTGTCTCTAATAGAAATTTGCCAGGTGTGGTGATGCACACTAGTAATGCCAGCTACTAGGGAGGCTGAGGCAGGAGAATCACTTGAACCATGGAGGTTGCAGAGAGCTGATATTGTACCACTGCACTGCAGTCTGGGCAACAGAGTGAGACTCCATCTCAAAAAAAAAAACGGCCAAGTATGAAAGCCTGAAAGGCAGGCATTAGAGCCAATTCTGGAATTGTGCTTTTCTCATGATTCAACTCACAGCCAGTTGTCAGATTTTCCCAGACATCCCCCTGATGCTCCACCAAACCAGGAACCAGACAAACTGAGGAAGGGGACTCCTTACTCCTCTAACCAACAGATGTTGACAGAACATCTACTTAGAGTGATGTCTCAGGGGCAACAGAAGAGGCAGGTGCTGTAGGGCCAGGTGGGTTACCTGTGTCTGCCAGACCCTCCACTAGGTCAGAACAGCCTCACTGGCCCCGAGATGATAATGCTGTAGGCGAACTCGTCAGGCTATCAAAAGAGCCGCCTGTCGGTTTCATTTATTTTGCTGTGTACGGCTTCCGCTGAAGGCTTCAGGGCGCCTGATCTCCTTTGTGTGTTGATAAAGAGCAAGTGCTTGGCCACGACATAGCCTTTTTTCTTGCATCCTGAGACATCCTAAGACAGTGGCCGTTTCACCTGCCTCTCAGGGTATTTGCTGTCTTCAGCTCTCTTTCTCCCCCTGACATTCGTGCCTGGGTACAATCCCAACTGAAATCAAATGCTGTCTGGAAATCTGACCAAAGCAGCACAGTCCCACTTCCTGCTTCCATCTCCCCACATCCCAAGGACCACCGTCTACTTTAAGAGAACACAGACAATTCACCTCTATAAAGGCACAGCCAGGGAAAGGAGTAGGCAGAGATGACAGCGGATCATGGGACTTCTCTTGAAGACACTTCCCAGTGACGAACGCTCATCGTCCATTTACTGACTTATCCTTATGTCACTAGGATCTGAATATCTACAACACTCTTTCGAGTGGACACAGTGAAGAACATGGAAGGAGAACTCACCCAGTCTGCCAGGTTAGGATGTGGTGGGGGCTGCTTGGGGGAGTGGCTCCAATTTCACTTGACGGTGTCGAGCTTCTCTGGCTTTGAGGTAAGGCAGCTATATGCAGGTGGTGCAAGAAAGGCAGAGAGCAGACAGGGATCAGACACAGGTGGAGGAGCTTGTGACCTGTTGGCCGACACCAACCCAGTGGCCAGAGGTCACCATTTCCAGGGATACTGGAAAGGACCCCAGGGCAGGGTCTTGGCATCCCTATGGCATGGTCACAGTGGGGAACCATCTCTGCATCCCACCAATTCTATTTTCTCCCCACTACCATGCACCTTCATTCTGAGTCAAGTTGACCTGGGATCCTAGGTCCCCACTTTGCCACCAGGAAGTGGCCATAGGGATGGTGACAGCTTCAACAGCAGCAAAGAACCTGATGTCCACATAGTCCTTTGAGTGAGACCTGAGCAGGGCTCATACAGGGATGACATATTTCTCTGGCCCCAGGGCATTTTCAGTGTAGCCCCATTGTGAAATTGTTTCTCTCCATTGTGAAGAGAGGGCATCCACAAAGGTTCTCAGAGCCTGTTCTCTCTGCTGTTTCAGGCTTATCATTGCTACTGTAGTACAGTTTGAAGGGAGCAGGGCTTTTAGGGCTTTTAATAGCTCATCCAAACCTGAGCACTAGGCATTTATTGATGTAGGCAGTATGGAAGTCCAGTTGGAAAGATTTAGTAGGAAGTCAATCCTACTTAAATGCATCCTTTGCTTTTTTGGTAATGGAATGTTTTCCATCAGTAAACCTCAAATACAGCTTCTTAAAAATTTTAGTCTAAAATATGTTCCAGAAGATCTACCTAATCTCTTTACATAACGCAAATCTACTAGACAAGTGCTGCAATTTTGATAGAACATAAGCCCTCCTGTTTGGAGATATTTACAACACATTGGTTCTTTATCTAATAGGGTCACAGATGATCATACTCAAGATCTTCCTGGGGAGTCAATGGCAAATTTCACTGGGCTATTTTACAGGTGAAGAAGGAGCATAAAGAAGGTTCTAGGACCTTGAAGTCCACGGAACACCCACTATTGCCTGATCTCTGGAGCTTGTCATTTGGCCAATGGACCCTAATAAACATGTCCACCAGGATGTGGGGATAGAATGCCGGAGCCTGGCTCACCTGGGCAGCCAGGTTCTTCCTCTTTGCCCTGCTGTCTCCAGGCACCAAGAATTTCCTCCAGTTCCCCAAAGATGAACCCCCCATTATCTCAGGTCACTGTTTCCCCTGATCTTTGCCAAATTCCTGACTCAGAGTTCCTCCCATTTGCTTCTGACTCTCATTTTATTCTTACAATGTTTACCATTTCTGTTCTTCTCAGTGTCCCTCTCTGAGTGGTAAGAATATGTTAATAAGCCAGTGCTGTGACCAGAGCACAAGGCAATTGCTCATGTTGGTCAGTGTCACTGTTATTAAATGTAACTTAAGGGAATGGGTGGTTTCTTCCATTTTTTTTTTAAACTTGATTCAATACCACCCAATGCTCTTGACTACAAGAATATGAGGGAAATTTTCAGACATACCATCAAGGATATTGAAGACACTTAACAAAAATATAGTTTGTGGCTGTGGCGTATCATCATCGAAAAGGGAAAGCCAGGAGCAGTCAAGAATTCTGTCAAACGCCCAGCTCTGGCACTCTGGTTATTAGCCAGTCTGCCCCCATCTGGGGAGACACTGGCCAAATCTTTAGACTTGACCCAAGCCCATCCCCAACCCAGTTTCCTTTGCAAGCTGCAGCTGTGGGCTTTCACTGGAATACTCTCCTCACTAGGGTAAAAGACTCACCTTTGGTTGGATAAACCCGGAGACATTACCTAAGTTTCTTAGATTTCTGTCCTTACAAGGAGAAATGGGGGGGCTGGCCCAGTGTACTCTGGAGGATCAAGTGCACCCTTACATGCAAGATTAGGGTAAGAACAGGGCGGGGGCGGGGTGGGGGGTCAACAAAGGCCTGAAAGACCTCAAGTCTCCCGCATCTGACAGCAGGGTTCCCAGAATTAATGACTCCCGTTCCTCACTGCACCCAATTCTAAGGGTACCTCCCGGCAGCAGCCCTTGACACCAGCGAGCAGTTCGCCCCCAGGCCTTCCCACGTGCGCCCGGCCGCCCCTTCTCACCTGACGTGGCCTTGCACATCTGGGGCATCCTGGTGACCCTGCTGTGCGCCACGAAGGTGCTCTGGGAGGAGGTGCTGTACTGCGAGCCGCTGTCTGAGGAGGTGGAGCTGGTGTGCGACAGGCGGCTGTGCTCCTTGTGCGAGGCGGTGGAACGCTGGTACCACTGGCGCAGCTCGTCTGAGACGGCAGCACGGCCCGCGCCCTTGTCGTGGGCACCCTCGCGGCCCAGCGACGGAGTCCGCAGGATCTGCGATCGCGACGGTGTCAGGCGGCCCGTGTCGCCCTCGTCGCCGCCGCCGCCACCGCGCCAGCTCTCCTTGAACAGGCCGCCCGCCGTGTAGGAGTTGGAGGTCTTGAACTGAGCCTTGACGCTGTAGTGGCCCTCCTGGTCGCTCTCCAGGCTGCGCACCACCACGGGCGTGGCGCCGCCCTCGATGTACAGCGGGTACTCCTTGATGCGGTACTGCGAGCTGGGCTGGCTCTGGCTGTGCAGGTACACACCGCCCCCGGCGCCCCCTGCGCCCCCCGCGCCCCCGCGTGCCGCCAGGTTGGGCATGCTGCCCGAGCTGGCCGAGCCCAGTGCGCCCGCCGCCCGCTGTCGCTGCCTCTGCCTCTGGCGCGCCTTGGACGGCGAGTCCTCGGCCAGCGTGGAGTAGTTGGCGTTCATCTGCGCCGGGTAGTAGTGCTCCGAGCTCGAGTGGCTGGTGCACGACGAGCAGTCGTCCATGGGGTCCGAGCCATTGCTGCTACGAGTCCGCGGGGTGTAGAAGTCGGGGCTCCCGGTGTCGTTCTCCGAGCCCAGGAGCTTGCCCTGGGACTCCAGGCTGGAGCTCCGGTGCCTAAAGTGCAGTGCAAGGCTGTGCAGTCGCGTGGGGCTGATGTCCACCGACCTGCCAGGAGACGGCCCGGGTTGGTCTGGGGGTGGGGGGTGGGCCCAAGGAGGGGTGCTCCGGGGAGGAGGGGGACCTGAGGAGGGCACTGAGGGCCTCCACCCAGGCTCAGGCCCCAGCCCAGCAAACCAGAGTCTCACTCAGCAGGGCTGCCCCGGGGATCTGGGAACTGCCTGTTTTTTCCAGCGAATGAAACTGCCGGTTGTGACTGGAGGCGAACCTGGCGTCTCCACCTTGATTCCCAGTGGGAAGGACTGAGCTTAGCCGTCTAGCCATCTTAGCCCAGCCAGCTGCCCCATTGGGGACACTGCCAAATCCACGACCCAGCCATCCCACCCACTTGCAAGCGCAGGGCTTTACTGGAATCCTCACTAGGAAAGACATGGTGAAACCGGACATTATAGTTTTAGAAACTACAGAAGGGTTTCGATTTTTGTTTTTTGTTTTTTTTTTAAGTGTAAAATGATTCTATAGACACAAAGAGAACCACAGAATCATTACTCTAGTATTATGGTTAAACCAGATAGGGCTGGGCACGGTGGTCCACGCCTATAATCCCAGTGCTTCAGGAGGCTGAAGAATTGCTTGAGCCTGGGAATTTGAGACCACGCTCTGCAACACAGTTAAGACCTCATCTCTTACAAAAAAATTAGAAAATTAGCTGGGTGTAGTGTTGTACACCCATGGTCCCAGCTAGTCAGGAGGCTGAGGAGGTAGGATCACTTGAGGATGCAGTAAGCTGTGATCAAACCACTGCATTCCAGCCTGGGCAACAGGGCAAGACCCTGTCTCTCTTGGAAAAAAAAAAAAAAAAAAAAAAAAAAAAAAACAAAACACAAACCAGATGAAATGTCCATATTTACAGATCAGATCAAAAAGCAGTCCTACAGAGGCCCTTCATATAATTTAACCAAATACTATCACATAATCCATATAAATAGACTCCCCTTTCCTGTGAAAACTGGGAAATAGAAGGTTGGTGGCAAATGAGATAATTAAAGAATGATGCAAATACTCACCACACCATTACTTTATCTATAATTCATTCTGCTCGTGTGAGTCCACTCAGGGCTTAGGGAAGTACGTTTGCGAAACACTATCACATGGCAGATGATGTTGCCTGATGCTGGGACTGCATGTGAAATTCACAGGGGCCCCACTGGCCAAGCACAGGAAGAGGTGAGTCCCACCCACTTCCAACTGCCTCTCAGAAGGGGGTTGAAAGTCTCCATCACGTGGCCCTCTGTGATCTGGTTTGCTTCTTTTTAGAAAAAGAAGGTGTGGCTAGGAGTGGTGGCTCACGCCTCTGATCCCAGCACGTTGGGAGGCCAAGGCGGGTGGATCACCTGAGGTCAGGAGTTCAAGGCCAGCCTGGCCAACACGGTGAAACCCCGTCTCTACTAAAAAATAAAAAAATTAGCCAGGCGTGGTGGTAGGTGCCTATAATTCCATCTACTCAGGAGGCTGAGGCAGGAGAATCGCTTGAACCCAGGAGGCAGAGGTTGCAGTGAGCCGAGATCGCACCACTGTACTCCAGCCGGGGTGACAGCGTGACTCCATTTCAAAAAAAAAAAAAAAAACCAAACAAACAAAAAAGAAGGTGTGATTCACTGAAGCCTCATTTATGCCTGGCTCTTTTGCTCTTTATGAATTTACATTTTGAGGCACTAAAGGAAGTCCAGTATAAATTTAGGCCTCAGTAGAAAGATGTAAGAGCTCTTCCCATGCTAACCCAGCCAGCCTCTGCTGCCTCTGCTTCGATGAGGAAACTTTTCATGCTCCCTGTCTCCAGGAGCCCAGGGATTCTCTGGCTGGCTCCAAGTGCCCTCTGCATGGGTCTCATGGCTAATGGGGGTTGACTGCCGCCAGCTTGGTTTTTTTATTCTGCTTCATTTATCCTCCCGGGTTCAGGTCTGACTGTAGCTCCTCCATTATTTGGGCCAGCTTGGGGCTGGCAATGCCCAATTTTAAAAAGGAAGGCCTGGTCTGAGCAGGGAGGTGGCCCAAAGGCCGGGCAGACTCACCTCGTGGAATGGACGTAGTGGGGACTCCGGACCCGCAGGTCTGGTGTGGACGGCATGCTGGACTGGGAGTTCCAGTGCGGGAGGCCGCGGATGGGGCTGTTCTGCAAGGAGTTGCTTCCTCCGCCTGCTTCCGCACAGCTTCCCGTGCTGGGGAAGCGCTTGTGGCTGCTGCAAAGCCAAGGAGGCCATGTAGTCACCGCCAGACAGACAGCACCTTTCCTGGGGGGCTGGCTAGTTCAGGACATCGATCCCAGCATGTGGGGAAGCTCGCCCGTGACTCCCACCTTGCTTGGTCAGACCTCTACTGTGGTTCTCAGGCTTTCCCCAGCAGTGGGTAGAGTCCTGGTCCCTGAACACCCTCCCCACTCCCTACCTAGGCAATACGAGACAAAAATCCTGGTCAGCCTTCTCTGTAGCAGGCAGTGTGACGGTCCTGCCCTTACAGTTTTTGTTTTCCAAGAAACAAATATTTACCTGTCCTGGCACCCCCTTGGAGCTTGGTAGGGTGATTAAAGGAAATGAGAAAAACAGAGCAGCAGACCCAAATGCCTTCCAAAAAAAAACCTCCCTACAAGGTCAGGCCGGTAATGAGCTGATAATACACAGCTTGGATTTCAGCTGCTTGGCTGGAGAATTCTGCTGGATGAGGGGGTGGAGTTCTGAACCACTGCAATTGCTCCGAGTGGACTTTCACTTGCCATTTCAGAATAGCGCTGCCTGAGATTTCCTAATTAATTCCTCTGGAATTTAACAGCATTCAAACCATCTGTCATCACGTGGATTGTGGGCCAAAGCCCCAATTTCTGAGTCACAAAAATGTACCTCAACAGGGTGGGCAGCAGAGGGCGCTGTGAGCACAGCCCCGTGAAAGGCAAACCCCAGGGGGAGGAACTAGGTTGACGTGGGTTTTGTCATCGTGGATGCTACTTGGGACAGCCCTTTGATTGTGGAAGCAATCACAGAGCGTGGATGGTGGCCTCATTTGGCGTCATTCACGACGCAGCTCACCTGGAATGGCTGTGAGAGGAGCGCTTCTTGACCTTCTCATAGGGTTCATCTAAAGAGGACTCACTCCACATTTTGGGCTTGATGGGAGACCTGTCATAGTCGCTGCGGTGACAGTGCGTCTGTCGGAGTCCCTCCAGGGACTGGGGAGGAGGAGGCCTGTTGTGCGAAGGTGGCCGAGGAGGGAGTCCCTTGTGAGGAGAATGTAGGGGGGATATTGTGCTGGTAACCTGACAGTCTTCTGCACAAAGACAGGAAGAGAGGAACTGAGCCCCGGCCATCCTTCCCACAGGCTGAGCCAGAGCCCCCACCCCCATCCACCCGCACCTTGGAGCCATACAGCCAAACCCACACCTTCACCCCTGTAATGAGAAACCCTGAGACTCTTCCCTG